ATATGGAAAAAAACAGAGTGCCCAAGAACAGATGACTGGTTAAAGAAACTTTGGTACATTTACACAATGGAATATTATGCAGCTGTTAGAAAAAATTAAGTCGTGGAATTTGCATATAAGTAGATTGACATGAAGAGTATCATGTTAAGTGAAATGAGTCAGAAAGGAAGGGACAGACATAGAATGACTGAACTCATTTGTGGAATATAAAGTAGCACAATGGGAGACTAACACCCAAGGATAGTAGGGATAGGGACCAGGAGGACTCCTCCATGGCTTGGAAGCTGGCCTCACAGGCTGTGGGAAAAGGCAGCTGAGACAGAGAAGGGACCACCTAGCAAAGGATGCTTGGAGGCCTCACTCAGGATGAGATATATGTGCTGAAAGTAGAGTATAGACTGAACATGATGACCACTTCTGCCTGTATTAAAAACCATAACACCTAAAAGGAGAGAGAGAGTAAAAGGAAATGTGCCGCCACAGAGGCAGGAAGGGATATACTGGGGACATCGTTGGTGGAGAACGGGCACTGGTGGAGGGATGGGTACTTACTTGACCATTGTATGTATGACTGAAATGTAATCAGGAAAGTGTCTAAGTCTGTAATTCTATCTCATGGTGTTTCATTTAAAAAAAGTTTTTAAAAAAGATATAATGTGGTAAGTACTCCAGGACAGGTATTAGTGAAATGGTGGGAAATGTTTAGATCCTTTCATAGTAAGAGCATTGTCTTTGGATGTTTATAATATTATCTACTAAGTATTTTTTAGGAAAAAACTGCCTTGCTTCATTTTGGTTGCAAACTAACCTATAAATAAGACTGAATCATCATCTATTTGTACTGTCAAAGAAAATATGTATTCTAGCAATCTCACTTTGTAAGACGGAATCACTTCTTCAGCAATTAATTTTATGTTTGATTTTTGTTTTGGAGCCACACATTGTGTTTAAGGCTTACTTATGGCAAGACTTGGGGAACCATATGTGGTGCAAGGGCTCAAACCTTGGTCAGCCCCATGCAAGGCAGATACCTGACCAAGTACAATCTCGTAGCTTCTTTTTATAGAAAAGGAAACACTTCACTTTGTCTTAGTAAAGAATGTGAATCTGATATTCTTGGGAGACTGAAGTTTCTTCTTTGATTCAAGTTTATACTTCACTCTAATAAAACCATCATACCATAATTGTCTACATATTTTTGTAAGAAAGAAAGATAAGTGAGAAGAGTATTGTGATGTTTCTGGCTTAATATAGATACCAGTAAAATATTTTATAAGAAGTATATGAATGTATGTGTTGAAGAACCATGTCAAGAAGCAAAATTTAGGGACTGGATATATAGTACAGCAAGTAGGGTGTTTGCCTTATATACTGCCAGCCTGGTTCAATCCCCATCATCTCACATGGTCCCCTGTCTGCCTGTTCAAGCCTGCCAGGAGTGATCTCGGAGTGCAGAGCCAGGAATAAGTCCTCTGCACTGCTGGGTATGACCCCAAAACAAAGACAAAAAAGAAACAAAACTTACCAGAGTTCAGAAAGAAAAGAGGATGCAGTTATCAGAAATAATTTGGAAATACTGTTGTTGGAACTCCCCTTACTGAAGCTATTGTGGAGAACTTTGATAAAATGCAGTTTTTCTCATTTCACATCTACTGTTTATAAAACTCTATGATTAGGGACTTCCACTCTCTCCCCAATCTATTATCTGAGCCAGTTACATTGCTATCAAAAAGACTACCAGTCTCTCCACATGATACTTGATGATTTATTTTCCATTTTTATTTTACATTTCATCAATATATGACTTTACATTTTATTTTACATTTCATGAATAAATGATTTATTTTACATTTCATCAATACCATGGACTTCATTCTAGACTCATCAGCAAACTGTTGATTATAATGTGGTTTTAGATCAGAGGTTTCAGTTCTACAGAATTCTCCAGTACATTTTTAGCCCTGTATTGGGGATTGTATGTGGCAGAGGAGAGTTTGCATGCTTTTAGCACTTTTAACCATTCCCCCCACTATCACTTCTCCTCTACCCTGTGCTCTCACTTCAAGAAGTAAACTCATTTAATTTCAATCAGAGGCTGTTTTGGAATGGACGTGTATGTTAGCTCAGACTCCATTACTGAACTTTAGACACATGTATACAAATGCATGCTGATATACCCCTTGGTGCATCCAAAAATCTTCAAGCTCTATTTTTAAGACCAAATCTATTAGAACTCACCATAAACTTACACTCCTTAAGTAAAGTCAACAAATAAAAGGGTATTGTCCGCTTGTCCAGGTTGGAAATCTAAGTATAGTCTGACCACTGCTTCTTTGTACATGGTGGGTCAGTCAAAAAGACCCACCACAAAGTCCTAAAACAACTCACATTCTCTAGCTCCGTTTTTGGGTCTGCTGTGTCTCCATTATATTTACCCTGGTTCTGAGCAACCGAATTTCAATTTTGTTTCTTCTTATCCTCCATACTGAATAAAGAGGGCTTTTTTTTTAAAAAAAAAAAGAGAGTAAGTCAGATCATGTCACTTCCCTCTATTCTCAGAATAAAGTTTCAAACTGTTAACAGCATATGAAGTCCCTCATGATTTGGCTATTCTTCTCGTCAGTTAGATTCCTTGATACTGACACTATATCTTATGCAATAGTCATAATTAGGTTCTGACATTTCTTCAAGTAGACCATTTCTCTCTTTGCACATTCTGCCTTCCACCTAATCATCCCTTTATCCCCTACCCCACACAGAAGGATAGAGGCTTCATAGAGGCTAGCATTTAATTCCTAGCTCTCTTATGAAGGCTGCACAGATAAAAGTGAATATAAGATAACTCAGTGACTAGAAATCACTGAAACTGCCTTTTCTTTCATCCTGCTTTCCTAGGACAATTCACAGATAGTGAAAACAGTATAGAAGGGGGATTCCAGAAGAATTATTCTTAATATTGCACTTATAAAAATCATACTTTGACACTATCAAATCATTTATATTTTTCAAATCTCACTTTCCACATTCCTGTCACAGAATGGAGTGAGTCTATGTGTTATTTCAGCCTTCATGAAACTTCTGGGCTCCTGAGAGTAAGGATCTTCAATGATATTGGAAAAGTGGGAAAAAGCTTAAAAGATAAGAAAGATCTTCCAGAATGGGATGAGCACAATGCATATTTATAAAATAATTCAGAATGGGAAATAGTAGAGTGGTTGGAGCAGTATCCCATTCTCCACCACTTGTGCTGAACCAATAGCTTAGTTGGCCAAGATTCAAGAATTGACAGTGAGACCCCAGACATCCTGAGCACTACATGAGATACCTACTCTCGCCAAAGAGAGACTGTTCAAATTTTGCTTGCTGATGCTAGAGACTAAGAGGACCATCACTGGCTCTCACAGAGGGAGAAGGAAGATTTGATGACACCTCTTCTACTCCATACCATTCACAGCATGACCATTTTTATGTGTTGGGGATCCTCTTTGGAATTGAAAATAAGTTGTCCAAAAGTAAGTGAGTAGATAAAGAAACTATGGTACATATGCAAATGGAAAAATACCCAGCTACTAGAAAAAAATGAAACCATGCAATTTTCTGCTACACAGATGGAACTGGAGGGTAACATACTGAGAGAAATGAGCCAGAAGGAGAGAGACAGATACAGAATGATCTCTCTCATATGTGCGATAGAAAGAAGCATAATAAAGGAATAACAAGTGGCCAAAGGCAACAGAATTTAAGAAATAGTCTACAGAACTGAGCTTACAACAGAACTGAGCCTACTATGGCAGGAAGATGAGGTAGGGGGCATGCTTTGGGAAGGGACCATGGGAAGATAGGAGGGAAGTGTACACTCTAGTGGATGCTGTGGAATTAGAATGTTGTATGCATGAACCCTATCATCTAAAATATCATAAATCATTGAGACTAAAATAAAATAATAATAGTTTGAAAGTTTTATGGTTTTCCCCATTATTTTAGCTCTGGCAATATAATTATCAAACTGAATAATGCTGTTGGCATGTATGATTCAAAAGTAGCATTAGTTTTTAGAAAGCTCTTTGGCATAATGTTCTTTAGTAGGTTGTATGTTGAATGTAACTGAAATTTACCTTCCTATTGTGAAGTTTTCTCCTCTCAACTATCATGCTTCATAGATTCTGAAATTCCACTGAAGGAAATAGAACTGACTCTATTAGCCCACAAAATTCATTCTCCTATTTGATCTGGGTCTGTAAAACGTCTGTGTCTATGTTTTATTCCCTCTGAACTTTGCAATAGAAGTTCCAGCGAATTGAATGCCTCCACCCAGAATAGCAAATTCTACTGTCCCCATTTTCCAGTGATACTTTGCATTGCAAATCGTTGGGTTAGTAACACACAGTACCATAACCATGGTAACCAAATGAAGACAAGTTGGCTCAACGAAGGCTTTCCAGCCTGCATTCAGACCTCATGTCTAATAACAGGTCAAAAGCATAAAAGGAACAGTCAGAAGGTTGATAGGAATAAACTTACAACCAGAACTATTGTGTTCATCCCTCACACTCGCCTTCTGTGAGTTCAGGATTTGTTACTAATAATGCCTGCCATTTCTGATTACTTTCTTATTATGTTCTTTCCTCCTGTAAGGGGAGGGTGGAGAGAGTCAATGTGTAACTTTATTCACAACTTGCCCATGGATCTTGGCAAGCAGATTATTTCAGCTTTCTATGAGTAACTGTTAAATAGGAGCAAAAAGAAACCTGGGGATTAGTATTGGTTCTGTGGACACAATTTAGTAGTGTCAAGGAGAAAGGAAGGCACCCATGTTCTCCTCAGATGTTTTTTGAAAACAACTGCAGCAAGCTTCTAAAATCGTCATGCTCTTAAGAGAGTGACTTTTTTTCTAGTATGGAAACTCCTGTCATTTGTTTATTGGCTTCCAGACTGTGAAGGGAGGGGCATTAATTCTCTGTTCTCTTTTCCTCTCAGCTGGAATGAAAGGGCAGCTATGATGCATTCAGAAAGTTCTGTAACTGCAGCCATGTGACTGGGTGATTCCTAGGAAGGAAGACGACTATTAGCAGGTGAGTGAGTCAATAGCCATGGATTCTGACCTGGATAATTCTAGGACTGTCATGAGTGACTGGGAGCCATTAACCTTTGAGAGGGGTCCAAAACACATGGCTATGATGTTGCTTCCATAACATTATCCCTGTATTGTCATTTTCTTAGACAGTATAATTTCAAGCAATGGCTCTGAAGTGAAAAGCAGAAGTTGTGTTTTCCTTCTCTATTCAGATAATCTTGAGGTTTTTATGTCATTTTCAATTATTTATTTCCATACTGTCAGGGAGATCTAATTCATTAAGACAAAGCTAAGAAGTTAAAAGCTTTGTTTTTTAACTACTCAGGGAATTCACTAAATATGAAAGTGGATCTTGTTATGGTTGAGTAATAATAAGATTTCTTTTTTTTGGGTATTTAGGTATACACTGTATGAAAAATTTCTCCTTTTGAAGGAATGGGTTAGAGATAGGGTTTATAGATAAATACAAGACATCAAACAATATTTGAATTTTAGATAAACAGCTTTTTGGGTGTATAAATATGTCCCAAATAATGTACAGGCATTACTCACACTAAAAAATTATTTTTGTATAAGACTGAACAATCCTGATCAGTGTGCCCAAGGATGTGTCCAAGGTGTAGGAAGATACTAATCCTCAGGAATCTTGGACCTACTCCTAGGAATATTAATTTTTTAATGTAATTTTTAATATTAGAATTTCAAATGAAGCTGAAAATATGTATTTTTATATCCTGAAGAAGGCAAACCAATTTAAGAATGACAAATGAAGTTGAAAAAACATTTTTCCCAAAAAAAATCTCAATACAAATTTTTCTAAATAATTATCTTTTGTGGTGTGTGAAGCAAGATAGTGTTTATTGAAAGAAACTTGATTAGAAAGATGTCAGAGGTGAGAAAGAGAGAAAATGCATGTGCAGGAGAGAGCATGGGCTTCTTCAGAGTGGGAAAAAAAATCTAGTAGAGAGACATAGAGACCAGCGAGATGTGTGTTCAAGGGAAAACAAGGGTTTGAAAAGAGAACCTATTATTACCTTATACCAAATTAAAAAAGAAGGATTTCCCCCTTCCTCACATTTTCTATTTGTTGTGATAATCAAGGCACATACACTTGATGCCAGACATCATATGCTTATTGAAAAATCATCGATCACAAACAGCAGGACCACTGGATTGAACTGGGCATGTGGTTCAACTTAAGCTTGGGAATCAAATTCATTTTCCATTGTTCCACTCTTGCAAAGCAGTTACTCTACTACTGAGTCACATCCTCAGGCCCAGGAAACTATTTGAGTTAAGATTTTAAAAGGAGGAGGAAGCAAGAGTGAAAGAAAGTCTGGTGTTGGGCAATATACACTGGTGAAGGTATGGGTGTTGGATTACTGTGTGACTGAAATCTAATCATAAACAGCTTTGGAATGGTCTATCTCACAGTGATTCAATAAAAAAGTTAAAAAAATGGAGTGAAAGTCTAGAGTTCAAGAATGACTCCACATGCTGATACATGATTTTTTTTTATTAGTTTTTCAACTAAAGATTGAAAGTGAGCAGGATCTATATAAGATTTATGAGCACGTATAGTGTCATGTGTAGGATTTATGACTGTTGAATAGTTAATGCATAAGACTGAACAATCCTGATCAGTGTGCCCAAGGATGTGTCCAAGGTGCAGGAAGATACTAATCCTCAGGAATCTTGGAACTATTTCTCAGGAATATTAATTTTTAATGTAATTTTTAATATTAGAATTTTATAATGTGTTTATCTTGCCATTAAAATTTTTATTGGACCATAGATATTTATGATGCCATTAAAATTTATGGTAACATGTCCTAAAGTTAGATATTTGAATAACTTTGCATTACTTATCAAAAAACCCTGTCTTTTTGCATGGGTTTATCTGAAAATAGTTTTTTAAATTTATTTTTATTTATTTATTTACCATTCCTTCTTTTCTCATGTTATTTAACTGACTAGTATATCCAGAAAAAAGTTTCATAGAAGTGATGAAGCAGGTACGCTTGTCTTGTTTACAAGTTGTGGGAAAAGTCACAAATGTTCACTATTAGATATAATGCCTTTACATATTTTTATAGATGACCTCTCAGTTTGAGGAGTTCACTTTTACCCCTAGTTTGCTAAGAATTTTTTAAAATTTATTTATTTATTGAATCACTGTGGGAAAGGTTACAAAGCTTTCAGGTTTAGGTCTCAGTCATGCAAATATCAAACACATTTCCCTTTACCAATACTTATTTTTACCATGAAGAACCCCAATAAGACCCCACCCCCCACCCCTCCCAGTCCCTGTGAGGCAGATGAATTCTAGTTAACACTCTATCTGCTTTGATTAGATTCATTGTTTCATTAAAAGATTCACCACTATTATTTAGAGTTTACCCCCCCCCCCAATCAGACATGCTGAAAAAGCATTGTGAAGTGATTTGCTTTCTACAGCTGGGTTCAAGAATTAAATGTTGGTTTTGGATTTCTGCTATTTTACTTATTGACCCTGGAAGTATTTCTACTGAAAGTCAGATAGTTAAGAAATTGGCTTCTGTGCTCTGGAGTCTTGGCCATGCTGGAGAGCCGCTCGTGAGGGGCAACTGGTGGCTTTGGTAAGGCGTGAAGGGCAGACCGAAACGCCCCCCTTCCCATGAGGTTTTAATCTCCCCCACACCCCCGGCTCATACCTGCTGTCCACAAAGCTCCACTTGCGGCCGCCATCTTTCTTTCCAGAGAGGAGAGGGCGAATGGGGCAAAACCCTTTCCCCTCCAGACAGACATGATGGCCTGGATTAACGCATAGTCCGTTCACTTTTCTGCTCCAAGCTGCCGGGTTCTGCATTAAGTCCTTGTGCCTCTGGGGCTGTGGCTGTGCTGGAGAGCCACTCGCGGGGGGCAACTGGTGACCTCGGTAGGGCATGAAGGATGGACCGGAACGCCTCCCTTCCCATGAGGTTTTAGTCGCCCCCACACCCCAGGCTCATACCTGCTGTCCACAAGGCTCCCATGCGGCCGCCATCCTTCTTTCCAGAGGGAGGAGGGCGTAAGGGACCAACACCCTTTCCCCTCCGGGCAGACATGATGGCCTGGATTAACGCATAGTCCTTTCACTTTTCTGCTCCAAGCTGCTGGGTTCTGCATTAAGTCCTTGTGCTTCTGGGGCTGTGGCCGTGCTGGAGAGCCTCTCGTGGGGGGCAACTGGTGACCTCGGTAGGGTGTGAAGGACGGACCGGAATGCTCCCCTTCCCATGAGGTTTTAGTCGTCCCCACACCCCCGGCTCATACCTGCAGTCCACAAGGCTCCCATGCGGCCGCCATCCTTCTTTCCAGAGAAGAGAGGGCGAATGGGGCAACACCCTTTCCCCTCCGGGCAGACATGATGGCCTGGATTAACACATAGCCCGTTCACTTTTCTGCTCCAAGCTGCTGGGTTCTGCATTAAGTCCTTGTGTTTCTGGGTTTGTGGACATGCTCCAAACTTAACTCTGATTTTCAGGGAGAAACGTTGGGTGGTTTACTTCCCATTGATTACTTTGTATATAGAGAGATGTTGCGGTTTTGAGGAAAAGTCCTAGTTCCCGCATACTCGAGCTGTGCTTGTAGAGGCTTCTGGTCACCGGGGTTCCATCTGGGGAAGGCGGGATGCGGTACCTACCCCATCTGGGACTTCCCGATGATCTCGGCTCTTTTTGGAACCTGTTTTTTTCTTTTTCTCCGGGAGCTGTAGGTCCCGCCCTCCATGTGGCCCTTCTCTTCCGGCTGTATGCTGTAAAGATGGCGCTGGGGGGCGGGCTGTGGGCGTGACTTCCGGAATTAGAGGTTACCTGGGAGCTGTAGTCCCTGCAGATTTGAGGAAAAGTCCTAGTTCCCGCTTACTCGAGCTGTGCTTGTAGAGGCTTCTGGTCACGGGGGTTCCATCTGGGGGAGACGGGATGCGATACCTACCCCATCTGGGACTTCCTGATGATCTTGGCTCTTTTTTTTTTTTTTTTTTTTTTAAATTTTTTTTTAACAATTTATTTATTTATTGAATCACTGTGGGAAAAGTTACAGAGCTTTCGGGTTTAGGTCTCAGTCATGTAGATACCGAACACATTTCCCTTTACCAATACTCATTTTTAACCCCGAACCCCAATAGACCCCCACCTCCCACCCCTCCCAATTCTTGTGAGGCAGATGAGTTCTAGTTAATACTCTATCTACTTTGACTAGATAGATTATTTCGATAGAAGATGCACAATTATTGTTTAGAGTTTACGACCCCCCCCCCCCCCAATCAGACATGCTGAAACAGCGTTGTGAAATGATTTGCTTTCTACAACTTGGTTTAAGAATAAAATGATGTCGCGCGGCCACAATAGCGGCCGCACGGTTTTGAATTTCTGCTATTTTACTTATTGACCCTGGAAGAATTTCTATTAAAAGTTAGCTAGTTAAGAGATTGATTTCTGTGCCCTGGAGTCGTGGCCGTGCCGGAGAGCCGCTCGTGGGGGGCAGCTGGCGACCTCGGTGGGGCGTGGGGGACGGCCCACAAAGCCCCCCTTCCCATGAGGTCCCCGCCGCTCCCGCGAGCCCGGCTCAAACCCGCTTTCCACAAGGCTCCCGTGTGGCCGCCATCTTTCTTTCCAGAGAGGAGCGGGCGGGCCGGTCAACGCCCTTCCCCCTCCGGGCAGGCTTGGTGGCGCGGATCAACACAAGTCCATTTGCTTTTCTGCTCCAAGCGGCTGGTTCTCTGTGCTAAGTCCTTGTGCCTCCGGGGCCATGGCCGTGCTGGAGAGCCGCTCGTGGGGGGCAGCTGGCGACCTCGGTGGGGCGTGGGGGACGGCCCACAAAGCCCCCCTTCCCATGAGGTCCCCGCCGCTCCCGCGAGCCCGGCTCAAACCCGCTTCCCACAAGGCTCCCGTGCGGCCGCCATCTTTCTTTCCAGAGAGGAGCCTCTTGGCTCTTTTTGGAACGTGTTTTTTTCTTTTTCTCCGGGAGCTGTGGGTCCCG